GCACATCAATTGACTGCTTAGGCGGCTGTCAGATGCCTTAACGGACAGCCTACAACGCTGTGCGGCTTGTTGCCGCTGATAGATGTCCGTGATTTCGTAGAAATCGAAAGGCCAGGGCTGCCCGCTCTCCTCTCGTCAGCCTATTTTAGTGCTAATTAATGGGAAGTACAAGGAGTCGTTCTGGTCGTTGCAGCTTAATTTGTCGCGGCTGAAACGGCTCGAATTGGCAAATCCAGTTCCCTGCCTCGGACGAGACGCTCCAAGTGGGCAGCCCGCGATTGACGTGTCATCCATGCTGCAGTTGTTGCATTTGTTGCTTTTGTCCCTGTCAGCGAGGGTTGTTGTTGGGTCTGTCGCCTGGTCAAGTGAACACCGCCGCCACCGACAGGGAGGCAGTCGGACTTTGGAGTCCGTCTCGGAATCTGCACCAAAAGAAAATGTCTATGAACTTAAAGTGGATATGAGTGCTTAGCAAGTATAATTACTTTGCAAGAATTTTTCTTGGTTTTGTAGTAGGCAAAGTTCATACTAAAAGAACTGATAAATATAATGCAAGTAAATTGAGTGTGACAAATAAATAAAAACCTTTGCTTCAAAGATTTGTGAATTTGATATCTATAAATTACTAGAAGAGTCTATCAGTTTAGCTCTAATTACCTCTTTTCAGTATATTATAAATATATGTATTAAAACTGTGAACTGATTTGAAGCTTAGTGGCAAGGGTAATTTGTATTACAGACTGTTGTAGCCAAATGTTTACTTTTACTTTAAAACGTATAAACATTATTCATACACTGTTTTCTATTTTATTTCGAGTGCTGTCTTACATCAAGTGTGCGTGTGGAGTGCGTGCGGCAAGTCTGTAGACTCCATTTGCATACGTGCAACGCTTGATTTGCTGCTCACTTGATGCCGCTGCAATTGAATGAAAGTTTTCCGATCCACTGAAAACTGAGTCGGGTTGACCAACGCCTCGCGGGTTTTACCAAAGTGCCTCGTTGGAGCTGTCGATTAGATTGGGCCGCGGCATTTAGCTAATTACCTCAGTTGTGGAAAAGTTGCCTTGGGACACAGAGGCCCGGCTGAGTGGTAGCCAAACCGCTTGGCAGATGACAACTCCGTACCTTTGGCTACAGTATAACTTTCATTTAACGTCTACGCAACTTATTTAAAAGAATTTATGGACATTTAAAGTATATATGTTCGTAAAGATGCGCTTTTCCAGTTGGGGTTTCCCTAATAGTTTTTTGCCTCCTATTGGAAAGTTGATATTTTTATTTTCCTAATTGTAATTGCTAGTAAAGAGCTTTATTAAAATGTAAAAAATATACACAAGTCAGGAGAGATACAAGTTGTATTTAATTGCAAATAACTTTTAATTAATATTAGTTTTAAGCATCTACCAGTAAGGGTCTGAAAATGATAGGTATCACTTGTTGAGGTTTGAACTCACTTTTCGACCTCTAAGCCGAGACCCCCTGGACGCCCCGTCAATTGTTCGGTCACGCACTGCCCCAAAGAATACCCCGGGGGATTCGGTCTCAATACTATGCAAATGTGGAGATCTCTGTTTTAGTTTTGTGCAAATTTATTGTTTTTAAAAGCAGCAGCTGAAGACCGATTGCTGCCATTGTGTGCCGTGTGTTCCTCTGCTTACTTATTTACTTTTATTTTACTTTTCGGTGGTGTTTGGGGAGTTTTTGCGAGCCCTGCTGGGTGCTGCTGGGCCTGGGCCTGGTGCTCTATCAGCAACTGGTTTTGGGTTACCCGCACGCACACCGTCTCCGGGGGCAGACGAGATGCAGCGGCGATCACATAATTCGTGTTGCTGCCTCATCATTCTTGTGCTTTTCCAAGCCGCGTCCCCGGGCCGCGCTCTGAGGAGGAAGACGCTTTTTGCCAAGTTTATTTTTATCAACAGCGGCAGCCGAGGCAGCAGCATTTTGCTGCTGTTGCATGATGGATCCACGGAGAGAAATTACAAATTCTGCATTTGCATTTAAAGTGCTGGTAAAATGCTTAGGTTTTCATAATACTTCTACCGTATTAAGCACTGTTAGTACCTGGGGCATCCAACCGAGTCCAGTATATCTAATTCATAATTCATACTCCCGGAATATTGTAAATCGGAATACCATGACCGAATCAAATAGCCAATTTTTACTAGATTTCTTGAATGTGTCTTGTTTTCGATTTAATTTGTATTTTAAATTCCAATTACAATTGTTTTAAATCGACAATTAAAGAGTATCAACGTGTGAGACACCAAAAAAGCAACTCGGTGTAAAATGGCATGGCGTTATGCATCCTTTCCTACATATCCTTTTCCCTGTATATTTTTCAGTATACTTTTGATAACTTGGCTTCATTTTTCCCATACCTATTTTTCTTCAGTGTCCTGCTTAAGTCCCTCTCCCAATCCCCGGCTGCTGTGTGTATCTGGAGACGGAGATGGAGCAGGAGATGGAGTCCAGCATCTCACGATCTTTAACATGTTTTGTCTCGATCAGTGAAATCATTCAATCAGAACGGTCAGCGTCGCTTCTTCGCTCGGTCGTTGGCAGGAAAAAAGGACACAAGACACACACACACACACACACACACCACTCGTTGTTGTGGTTGTAAATTATATAAGGTTAGGCCAGATCTGGTTTTGTGTTTCTATAAGGAGGCTTCATATCGCAACTCCAAGTCCGAGTTCGATTCGAAGCGATTGAAAGTGTTAGGAAGCTCTTCGCTTTGTGCCTTGTAAAGCTGGCATCAGCTTCCCGAATTTTGTGGCTATATCGGAGCGGCGATATCTGTATCTGTATCGTAATTATTCAGGATCGACGGGACTGGCCATCAGTTGGAACGGTAGCCGCCAATTTATGACGCCCAGCGAAGTGGGTCTCGATCCCTGTCCAGGACGGGTCCATAAAGCATGTTTTTAAAATTCCATTAAAATTTATTAGCATTTCACACAAAATGTGCATAAATAACCCCGCTGAAGTTCGGGACTTTTTGATAATTCGGAACGGAACCCTCCTCCCTTACGGCTCTTTAATGATAAAAAATTGGCCATCGCCTCTCACCTGAGCCTGAGCCTGCTGGGATTTTGAATCGATTTTCGTTTTTCTGTGTTTCGAGTTTCGTAAACTCCATAAATTCGAGGGGATGGGTGGGGTTGGGGTTGGGGGATGCTCGATAAACAATTTATGCGCAATGCTGTTTGCTTTCCCCGCCGCCCTTTGTTTATGCACGCATTATCTAAACAAATACGAAAATACGAAAATAACTCATTAAATGCAACGGCCATAAAACATGAACGTTTTCGTTTCGTGTTCGTAAACGGGAAATTAGAGTTAATGCAATCCCGATCGCCCCCTCGACACCCCTCTGGGCTCCCTCAACCAGCCCTGGCTTTGGGCCCAGTTCCGAGCATGTAAATAATTTGACAGGAGATCTCGTGGCAAATGCACTATGGGATATTTTAATCGTTTCTGTCGAATAAATTAATAACTCTGTTTAAAAGATATTAACACTGAAGTATATATATTGTAATGATAAATCCCTAGATTCTGAAACATTTATTATCCGAATTACTATGTTTTATAGAATAGATCAGACAGAATTTAAGATAACTGCATGAAACTTAAAATGGATATTATTTTGAAAGGGTAGATCAGATCACGGTTTTCTAAACTGGTCATAGAATCAATCAGATACTTCTGATATGGGAGTAATACAGGCGTTCCAAAAAAAAGTTTCTAATTTGAAATTTTTAATTTATGCATTAATAAGTCGCAGGAAGAGCATATTGAAAATGGATATGTTAAATTTTTAATAGATGGCAGTGATGAAATATAAAACATAACAGAACAAATTACATTTAGCAATTGTAATAATAATACATCCTATTTGTTATGTCCAAATTTTCGATTCCGAACATATTAAATTTAAAAAATTTAACATTGTCATATTTTTAAAAGACTTTTTCTTAACAAAACTTGTTTAAATTACCCATAGTGCAACAAGTGCAGAGATCTCAACTCAAGTGCACGTTGGGAGTTTCGGAGAGAACGATAGAGGGAGAGAGAGAGAGAGTGACTCCCAGAGCAAATGGACAAAGAAACTGAGAGAGAACGGGAACTGAAAGTGGAACTCTTCCCACTATTTTCAGGTGCGCTCGGGTTAAGAACCGAAACCATCCCAAAGTTCCTTTTCTTCTTTCTTTTTGTTCTCTTCCCTAATGGATATAGGTGCACTTTCTATAGAAGTTTGTTACATTTGGGAAAATCTCTAAAATATGCTAAGATTTTGATATATATTAATAATCGAATAGAAATTCTGGAAGATATAAAAATCTGTAATATGTTTTCAGAAGGCATTTATTAAAGATATAATATTGTATATGATTATTTTTGGTAAAGATATAGTTACAATATTTTCTTTATACTCCCAAAAAAGGTTAACATTAACCATAAAATTTCCAACAAAATTAAATCTTATTTATAAATAAACAAAGTCTGTTCGATATCACCAACTAAAAGTTTTTGTTGAAAAGTTTGTGAAACACCTGCCGCATTTTTCTTCTGATAATATAAATGTCTGTGTGTAGTGTATTGTATGTATGTATATATATTGGAGTCCCGATTTATTGGAAATACATTTACTAATTATAATAATAAGACAGAGTGACTACATATTGTAATGATTATGTAATTATTAGACTTCAGTCTTATAAGATTGATTAATAATTCTGTGGCTTTGTTAGGGTATTCAAAGGCTCGGCCTGGCAAAGTCAACCCTTTCCTTCTTACGGATTTTCTTTTGTGCTGCTTGTAATGCAAAGCGCATCAGGCTCTGCCGCGGTCTCTGCCTCAGTCTCAGTCTCAGCCTTAGTCGCTGCCTGGGCCGGCGTCGTTCTTGGTGGCTTTGTCGAGATTCCTGGCTGGCCGGCGGCGGCTATAAATGACAGGTGCTGGCCATTTCACTTTTAGTCTCCAGGTGACGACGCAGGCGCAATGGACCGCTGGCTGAGCAGTGAGTAATAGATCTGGGAAGCCCCGGTAAGAGCCACTCCCAACTAACCTGGCCTTTGTCGCCCGTCAGTTGTACTTCTAGGGGCACTGCTGGCCCTGGTCTCTGGACCGGGGAGCCATGGCAACACGATCAAGGAGCGCAACCTTTTCGCCACAGAGCTATTTCAGACACTGGCCACCGATCGCCAGGATGAGAACGTGATCATCTCGCCGGTGTCCATCCAGTTGGCCCTGGGCCTGGCATACTACGGAGCGGAGGGCAGGACGGCGTTGGAGTTACAGAAGACACTGCACGCCTCGGCCAAGGAGAGCAAGGATGGGCTGGCCGAGACCTACCACAACCTCCTGCACTCCTACATCAAGTCCAAGACAGTGCTGGAGATTGCCAACAAGGTCTACACCCGAGAGAAGCTGAAGGTGTCGGACCACTTCCGGGAGGTGGCCCAAAAGTACTTTGACTCCGAGGTGGAGCCGCTCGACTTCAGTCGCGAAACGGAGGCGGTGGAGAAGATCAACCAGTGGGTCAAGCAGCAGACGCAGGACAAGATCGAGCGAGTGGTGGACAGCCTGGAGCCGGACACCAACGTGGCCCTGGTAAACGCCATCTACTTCAAGGCCCGCTGGGCCCGACCCTTCAACGACGAAGACACCCGCGACCGGGAGTTCTGGCTGAGCGAGCGACAGTCTGTCCAGGTGCCCACGATGTTTGCCGACAACTGGTACTACTATGCCGACTACCCCGAGCTGGACGCCAAGGCCATCGAGCTGTTCTTCGAGAACATCAACCTGACCATGTGGTTCATCCTGCCCAACCAGCGTTCCGGACTGCAGGCTCTGGAGCAGAAGCTCAAGGGCGTTGACTTCAAGCTGCTCGAGGAGCGTTGGCAGTGGCAGAGCGTCTCGGTCTACCTGCCCAAGTTCAAGTTCGAGTTTGACACCGACCTCAGGCCAACGCTGCACAAGGTGAGTAGGGTTGGATAAGGGTCACCGTGTGACTCTGGCACGATAAGATCTTTGGATGGGTTATTTACGAGGGAGAGCCATGGTTCTTGGTTTGCCCAAGTAGGAAAATCTAAATATTTTTTGAAACATCTTCGTAGATGGGGATCAGCGCCATGTTTTCGGATGCAGCCGACTTCAGTAACATTTTCCAGGACTCTCCCATTGGCACACGAATCACCAAGGTGCAGCACAAGACCTTCATTGATGTGAACGAGATCGGGTGCGAGGCGGCTGGTGCCAGTTGTAAGTGGAATCTCAGCTGAAGTTTTTAGAAGTAACCTCCACTTAATCCCCTCCATTTTCCTCCTACGCACAGATGCCGCAGGGGTGCCCATGTCCCTGCCCTTGGACCCGAAGACCTTTGTGGCCGACCATCCGTTTGTGTTCATCATTCGCGACAAGCACGCGGTTTACTTCACTGGCCACATTGTCAAATTTTAGCCTTCTCATATATATATTTAGCACTTAAGATTGGATTAAGTTTTTGAATCTGTAATCATCAATCAATAAATACGGACATCCTCCGCTAGAGATCAGGAATCCATAGTTTCGCACTTGGGAAGCCTCTCTTTGCCACACGTTTCTGAGGCTATAAACAGGAACACTGAAAGCGAGAGATAGATGCAGTAGAGTGGTAATAATTGGGCTGCTGAAGGGATACGTATCCTCACTATGCTTGCTTTGGGCATGACGGCCACAGTTAAAGGCCAACATCGAGCAGTACTCCATGTCCAGGTAGCAACCGTTGATGTAGGCGCAGACCAGGTTTCCTTTAAAAGCCGCCGGGCAATCCTCAATGCATTGCGATGAGATCCTCCGGAGCAGGACTGTAGCTGTAAGATAGACTTGGTTGGAGGCTTCTACAGGAGCTACAGGAGCAGTAGGTGATATACCCAAGAATATGACCAAATGGAGCTTCATTCCACCAACCAATCTCGGCAGGCTGTAAAACTAGCAATAGGTCCACAGGCTAAGGTTCCCCCTTGGACTGAAAGGCGTGTCAAATCCATTGTTCGAGGTGAAAATCCAATTACGAGCCCATACAAACATATATGCCCATCGAATATGCAAGTCACACAAAGCCAGTTAAGCACACGGAGATATTTCATAATAATAATCGTTGCCTGGTGGTCTGTCAGCGGCCACTTTAATTTCCCCGCTCGAAAGCCAAAAATAAACACGGGATCGAGAAGCATTTAAAACCTGAATGTTGTCGAAGTCAATTGCAATATTTAACTCGAAAACGACAAACAGAACGTGCGACCCAAAAATTAACCGAAAGAGTTGGGGAAAATGACCGAGTCGAGACCGATGCAACTGCGGAGAACGACAATTCGATGCATTAACCCTTTGAAAATCCCTTTACCCCTTTCTCGAAATCGAAATGGTGACTATATTCCATATTTAAGTACATTATATACAAATAAGATAGGTAACTACTATATAAACTTATATAAACAGCACAGCATTCATTAGTAATTTATCAAAAGATCGTTAATAAGAATTTGATGTTGATGAAATTATCTTTGGCTTGTTCTTTTAATTCTTCGATTTTTTATTAACAATTCATCAATTAAAACTAAGCTTTTTTATCGATGTTTCAGACCATAAGCGTTTCATCGATATTTCATCATGTATTCATAGGTAACTCACTTATTAACTTGTTCTCAAAATGCCTACTTGATCATCGAAAATTTGACTTATTTATTTTTAAAGGAATATATTACTATATATTCGAAAATATATTTTTATAAACATTCTTTTTGAAACAAATAATTTTTGAATACAAGCTTAAGCAATAGAGATAGAGAGAATACATTTTTTTTAACAAACATTAAAATTATCTTCAGTATTCTCGTACTTCTAATGAAAAAGACTTGAAAGAATTTAGTCATATTTTCAGTTCTCCAATTGGTCTGACAATATAAGCAAATGTTCAATCCAACTAGCCAATGAATTATATAATGGTGATTATATAATGATTATATACAATATGTAATGGTGGCCAAATACCGACTTTTCGAAACATAATATACCAGTTTTCAATAATATTAACTATTTTAATAAAAATTATACACTGTCCAATAAACAATAATTATTAACATACTGAAATAATAAGTTTTATCAGAAGATTTGAAATAAAACGGCGGAATGTGACGATCAACTGAAGTGGGGAAAACAATTTTGGACTCTAACGAAAAAATAACTTTTACTATACTTATTTATACATTATTTTATTTGTATATTTTCAGTAATTAATTATGATGTGAATCCGTCATCAATCCATTTCTACTGTAAAAAATAATCTGAAAAAAAATCGAAAACAGAAATTTGAATATAAATTGGTATGTTATCGTAAAAATTTGTTTAAATTTTTGAACGGTTTCTTTATTAATTAGACCAACACAGGTTTCGAGGTAAGAATTTTATATATATTTATATTTACAATAAATTTTGAAATATGTTTATCGTTTTTTGAAAATAATTTCTTAATTTGACACATTTAAGAACCAATTATGTTAAACATTTTTAGGAATTTACCGGAAAAACATTTCTCAATGAATTTTTAAGTAATCTTTATGTATGTGCTTATGCCTCTGCTTGTTTAAGGAATCTAATTGCAAAACTTATTGTCATAAGTTATTTAGTTTCTTGATATACTTGTTAATCATTAATCTTTAAAAAAACCGTAACAGCGAAAGTTGTTGTTAGATTTCAATCTATTGGTTACTGCCTTTCGTACTACAAACCATCAATAAAATGTACAAATAATTCTTTATTTCAACTGTTGTGCATTTGTATAAAATTTAAATATATATAATTACAACAAAGCACCCATTACCCCGCCCAATGGCTCGCAAAAATAAAGACAAAGGAGAAAAACAGATACTAGAACCATAATAAGGCATTACTCCCTGATCCCGGATCCCGGGATTAGCTAAATGAACTGTCAGCTTGCGGGAAACTCGTTTGCACGGCACTTGTGGCATTTGTTTCAAAAGCGCCTGCGCCCTGCGCTGGGCCACTGGGCAACGTGCACCTGCTGCAAGTGCCCCTCGCTGGCTACCTTAATGCCTCTTTAAAATTCCGCTCGCGAAGCGCAGCAACAACGAAGAAACGAAGAAAACTGGTCAAGGGGGCACAGATGAGGAGTTCTAACGAAGGGACGCAGCCCAGAAGTTTCGGGAGGGGTGCACCAGTGTTCCAGGCTATGATCACTCGTATAGGCAACGCAGATCTTACCAAATCCTAAGCTAAAATAAGCACACCCAGATCTGTTCCCAAGTTCGCCCAATCTGTTCCCTATATTTTCTCGCCCCACCAGTATTAGCTGAGAGCTCCCAAACGAGAGAGACAGCGACGGAGGCGTCGTCAGTGATGCCAGAATCTCGGAAACAAAAATAGCTAGAGGTAAAAAAATTCTTGATTGCTACTTGGTACTACAAAAAAAAAAATAAATAAAAATAATAAAATAATTAAGAACACAAAAGATTGTATTACAATCACAGTCTTGCATATAGTCGACTAATTTGGCCCGTTCTGACTTATAAACTAGTGAGAGTATATTGAAGATCAACTGGAAAGTATGATTCAGTTAGCTTCAAAAGTGAGAGCCTAGCAGAAACGGACCAACAAGAAGAAGGACATGGCTAGACTCACTTGACTGTTGATGCTGATCAAGAATATATATACTGTAGAAGGTCGAAAATACGCCTTCCCTGCATTGCAAACTTCAGACTAAATTAAAAATACCCTTTAAGGAAATATTAATGACTCAAAAGTAAATTCTAATAAGTTTCCAAACCATTATTAGTTGAAATTTTAAGGTTAAAAAAATTCTACATTAAAAAAATGACTAAAATTGCTAAAGGAAAATTAACATATTCCATATTAGTGATTGACAGCAATTAACGAAAATAAATAAAATATTATTTTTAATAGTTTCCAGATCTAGCAAATTAATGGCTATAGTGTCAGCTCTGTGGCGGAGTTTGGCGATCGGAGTCTTTTGGGGCCGAGCAGTTGCTTTCAGTCTGTTGATCACTTCGAACGACTCGTCAACACGCGGCTGCGCGCATGCGCGAACGTTTTAGAACGAAGCGAAAAGAACGGAAAGCTTATCAAGTGGCAAGGATCGGTATTCGGGAGTCGGAAGTCGGGAATCGGTAGAGCAAAACGGACGTGAGTGTGTGTTTGTGTGTGTGAGTAGGTGAATGTGCAAAAGTCATTTCAAAGGGAGCTGGAGGAGCCACCTAAAACTGAAACCCCACCTCAATCCAGCTGAAATGTCCCCAGAGCCATGCATAAATACAATTAGGCCGCGCACAGAAAAAGGCAAAGCTAATTCGCTAATTCGGATCGCGAACCAGTTTCAGGCAGCCAGAGGCCGGCACAGGCACTCCGCCAAGCAATATTGAAAACGCCTAAGCTCAAATTGTTGTCAGTTGGTTCGGCTTTTGTTGATTTATGTCCGCGATTAAAGGAAACAACCGGCCGAGAAACCGCTGAATAAGATAATAAATAAATAAGTGTGATGCCAGAAGGCAGCAGCGGTCGCGGTCCCTCCTCCCCTAAGTGTCACCAGTGAAAACCAAGTCCCGTGAATGCAAATCAAGCGAAAAACAAAACAAAGGTTGATACAAAGCCATCGATAAGGATTATATAAAAGGATAAATCTAAGACCGCCGTCCCGCCGAAATGGATAACCCAAATCAAATGCCCGTGGAGTTAGAAAGGTGAGTGCCAGTCCCGAAATACAAATCCCGTTTCGCGAAACTCTTAAAACTTGTTAATTGTCATTGCCTCAGCTGTATCCATAAATTAAATTATTTTGTATATGCCTGAAATTTATTGATACATCGTTGTTATAAACATTTAGGTGACAGAAAAATTAGCACTTTAGATAATGTCTCTGCCGTCTAGACATAGGCGTAGTTGGCAATGTGCCCAATAAACACGATCGAGTCCTTGTACTTGATGGCAAACACAAATGGATGATCTGCCTCGAACTTCTTGGATCGCGAGAAGAGGCCCTTCAGAACTGTTAAAAAAAAAACAAATTACAATTTAGTTAATGGATAAAGCTATAGGTAGTAAGTCTTACCTCCAGTTTCCAGGGGCTGTTCCACACCTGCTTCAGTCACCTCCACATTGGCCTTGTGCTCCACAGCGTTGATGAAATGGCTAACAAACATTCGGTACATATTGCCAAAGTCACCGTCCCTCGAGAACATTGTGTGAACTCCCAACTAAATAAGAAAAAATGCAATTAATGATAAAACTAATAAATGTTCAAAATCATTATAAACGAATGTAACAATGGGTTGTCTTGGCCTCCCAATTCTTTTATAACAAACCCCAAAGAAAAACAAGAAAGGAAGCTAACTTCGGCACGCCGAAGTTTATATACCCTTGCAGATAGAACTTCTATGACTTGGAATCCCAACAATATAAATTATATTTATTTGTGTTAAAAAACAATGAAGTAATACCTGCTTTCATTTCATTCACCTTACATAGCAATTTTACAGTCACAGATGTGCATTTTTCTCCACATCTAACGATCGTTTGTATGGCACCTATATAATATAGTCGTCCGATTTTCATAAAATTTTACACAAAATTTAAGACTGAATAAAATGGTTATACCTCAAATTTGATGAAAATCTGTTGAAAACTGAAAATGTTATAATTTTTAATTGTCTTAATTTCTCGATTGTTCCTATTGGAGCTATATGATATAGTTCTCCGATTTTCATTAAATTTTATACAAAATTGTAGAGTATAGTAAAATGGCTATATCTTAAATTTTATCAAATTCTGTTGAAAACTGAAATTGTTATAATTTTTTTTGTGAAAATTATCCGATCATTTCTATGGCAGCTATATGATATAGTCGTCCGATCCGGCCCGTTCCGACATATATACGAGTTAGAGTATATAGAAGGCTAACTACAAAGTTTCATTCAGATAGCTTCAAAACTGAGAGACTAGTTTGCGTAGAAACGGACAGACGGACAGACGGACAGAAGGACAGACGGACAGACGGACATGGCTAGATCGACTCGGCTGTTGATCCTGATCAAGAATATATATACTTTATATGGTCGGAGGTGCCTCCTTCACTCCGTTGCAAACTTCTGACTGAAATTATAATACCCTGCAAGGGTATAAAAAATACAAAACTCACCTGCTTAAAGGCACCCTCCAAGCTCACGCCGAAAGTGACACTAAATTTGGGCAGCAGCACCTCCACCTTCTGCTGGCTCATACCGCCAATCTCGGCCAGCAGATTCTTGCCCGCCAGCGATTGCTGCAGGGACCGCAATCCATCCTTGCGGTTCGGTAAGAGCAGGAGCATGGAAAAGTCCACATTCTGATAGGGCAGCTCCACTACCTTGGCATCCAGGGAACGAACCTCGGCATAGTTGAGGTTCTGCAGGGTCCACATGGTGTCCACCTTCACGGACTGGCCGTTGCCGGTGCGGAAGGACCGCTTTTCGGTCTTGTCCAGACGGAAGGCCTTCTGCCAGGCGGCGGAGTAGGAGACTCCGTTGACTATCACTCCCTCGGTGCGATCGTTGAGCAGCTCGGGGCGCAGAATGTCCGTGATCTTGCCGTTGGTCTTGGTGGCCACCGCGCGGTTGATGGCATCCGCAGTGCGCTTGTTGTACGGCGGATGGAAGTCCAGCTTATCGATGTTCGAGTCGAACTGGCGCTGGGCCACGTCGCGGAAGGAGCCCTTGAACTCCAGATTCTCGTTGATGTAGATGTTGTTGGCCAGTCGGAAATTGTTGTCGCGGGTCAGGGACTGCTGGTGGCTGCCGCTCCGCTGGCTAACCGCGTCCGCGTCCCCAGGGCCCAGGCGCAGACCCTGCTGCAGCTCCGAGGCGGTCTGGCCCTTACCCCCCACAAAGGCCAGAGCCATGGAGCTCTGGATGGTGGCTGGTGAGATGACCAGGTTCTCGTTTAGCCGATCGGCGGCAACGGCATTGTAGAGATCGGCGGCCAGCAAATTGCGGTCGACAGCGGCATCGTAGCCTGAGGTCTTGGCCTGCGAAACTGTCGCTAGGAGTACTAAAGGAATAGAATCGGAACCTGGCATTAGAAGCAATTCATTCGCAAGCTCCGCCTCCCTGGAGAGCATCGAAAGCATACACAGAGAAAAAAGTATCTCACACAGTTTATCTTAGATTTGGAAATCACACTTGAACAGGCTCATAATAATGATCGAATTAAAAATTTGAGATTGCCGATATACTCAGAATTAATTAGGTTTTCGTAGATAACGAATGTAATTAGAGTTAGTTCTCGTTTCTCTAAAATATATGTCGCCTTAATTTGCTTAAAATCCCACATAATTTCAGTAGACTTTCTCACTGTGCACGAACCAGATCGCTAATTGGGGCTTACGTAATAGGCAGCTGATGATGACAGCCATGGTCGTCACATAAATAGCCAATGGGCGTCTCCTGGTCCGCTTGATTCGCACTTGGGACTTCTCCGAGCTCGTCGGAATGTGAACTGAATTCGAGGCGGCCGTCGAGCGGCTCTGGAGGCTGCTCCAAGTCGCATTCGGACGACGCAACTACCTCTCGGCCCCGAAAACAGAGAGGTTCGTGCGTGTGTTTACAAATCATTTGTCACCTTTGGCTCGCCACGGGTGAATCTGTTTATTTTGAGCGATTGGAGAGGGCCTGATAAGGCGATAACCCCGGCTAGAGCTAGGCATTGGAATCGAATATTAAGTAACTCAGATCAGATGTCCACAATGTGGCCGGCCAGCAGCAGGGTCTTGTCATTGCCGATGGCGTAGAAGAACGGGTGATTGATGACCAGGGGCAGGGCTCGTCGGAACAGATCCCCGAAGGCTACGTGAACGAACAATAAGAGCGGGTTGTGGTTTCATTTCTTCTGAGCCTTAGATCAAACTCAAGATCACTTACAGAATGGATCACCGGCGCTGCCGCCTTCCTCCTGGATCTCTAGCAGGCTGCTCTGGACCACCGCTCCCAAGGGAGGAGCCGAACTGGACAGGAGGGAGCTGAATACCTCGCTCAACTGGATCTCTGAGGTGAAGAGTTTTGACAGGCCCAACTGAAAATGGGATTGTGGCAGGAGAGAGTTCAGTTTCAATAGGAATTCTCTAAGATTTAAGAGCCCTTTCCATTCAGACTTTAACTGTATAGTATAGTATATATAGTATAGAAATTATCTAGATTATATGTTAACTAACGATTTTGGTCATCCCAACTAGATCCCGTATATAATTTTTAATGAATGTTCGAACTATACTTGAACTATATACTCTGATGTTAGAGAAACTCACCTCCTTGAGCACAGCCGTCAGCTGGGAGTGAACCAGAACCTTAAACTTGGGTAGAGTAAGGGCCACCTTCCTCTCCTCCAGCTGGCCCCTCAGCTGCTGCAGATCGGACTGCGCCAACTTCCTCTCCAGATGTGCTAATCCGTCAGCGCGATTCGGGAAGATGACGAGCAGCCGCAGGTCGGCGGTGGCAAACGGCACCTCGATCAGCTGGGCATCCAGAGCTTGAACCTCGGCATACCTAAAACGATGTATACCGAACATGGCCTCCACCAGCCTGGGACGGTTGCCCAGGGCAAAGAAGTTGATGCTTTGCGTCTCCGCCGTATCGAAGGCCTGCGCCCAGGGAGCGCGGAAGGTCAGGGCCGAGACATGTAGAAAGGGGGTGCCGTGCTCGGAGAGGGATTCCAGCTGCGAGCCACTGACCAGCTCCCCCAGGCTAAAGTTGCTGCGGCTGAGGTACTCGTAGTTGATGTCTTGGGCAGCCTTAGAGGCACTCTCCCAGGACAGGCGATGGCATCCGACTCCGAGGCGCGAGGCCAGGGCCTCGAACTCGTCGCGGAAGCTGAAGGTGAACCGTTGCTGGGTGTAAAAGTCGCTGAGCATTCGCAGGCGACATCCAACAGCCGCGGACTGTTTGAGGTGGGTCAGCATGTTCTGGATGTCCTGGACTGCTTCTCCTGGGCTGCCGGCATGCTGCAGCTCTAGAGCCTGGCGCAGCTCCTCCCGCGCCGGACCCGGAGTGCTTCCGGCGTAGAGCAGACCCAGGGCTGACTGGACTATCAGTGGGGAAATGACCACATTCGCATCTTGCTGACCCAGTCCCAGCTTGGTGGAGAGGCGCAGACCGAAACGGTGGTTTGAGCTGGCCGAGAACTTGGCGTCGACTGGTAACAGTGGAGCTGAGGCCAGAGTCACGAGCAGGGCGGGAAGTAGTCTCCAGGTCATGTTCTCGTTTCTGGGAATTCCAAGCTTCGACTAAAGCCACAAAACCAGCTTACACACAACTGAGCTACGCGTTCATTCATGGAAATTTTAAACATATTGAGCCATTGAGGTCATTGATTAGGGAGCTACAAAGCCAAAGCCAAAGCTCCGTATTGAAATTCGTCGTTGATATGGGGCTTTTGGAGAGGCGGCGAGTTCCTAAATTCTCAAAAGAGAGTGAGAGCGAGAACAGAGCCGGAGAATTTATCAGTTCAAGTCAAGTTCAGATTCTCTCCCACTCGGCTCCCAAGCGTTCTTCTCATTCAATTTTGCAACACTGGAAAATATTTCCAACAATAATCTAGAATATTATTTAATGAGGTTAAACAAAGAATTCCAAGAAATTGTTATCATAATAAGTTTGATTTATTGCTTATGAAATATAATGTTAAGACGAACGAGAGTTTCTCAGAAAAGACATAATTAAAGTATGCAATTTATTTTATATATAAATAATGATAATGTTCATTTGAAAATACTTAATTAAAATATGAATTTGAAAATATTTATAGACAATAAAGACATCTATTCACTTGAACCGTCAAAATATATTTGTTATTAAATAAGAAGCGTATTGATCAATTTTAGGAAATCATGTTCCAGGAAAAATATGCTGATAAATAAATCCAGATTTTTGGGTATTCTTTCTTAAGCCTTTATGTTAGGAATCTAAAGAAACATTTTAGCATTTTCGTACCTAACACATACTTGAGTTAATTTTGTAAATTTATTGTATTGTATTTTCGAAAGAAGTACAATGATATTACAAAAGAAAATATATTTCTGATTAAAACAGGTCTCAGTTCTTTTTGAATGAAAAAGTCCTTTTGTCTTATAAAGATCATTTACTGAGTCTTTAAAGATTCGTTAATAAAAATCAACTTATGATGACTTTATATATCCTACGATCAGTCTATATTTTTATTATACATTTATTTTTGCTAGTGTAGGCAACCTTGAATGACGCTATTAATTATGCGCAGCTTTCAGCGGGTATTTCAATTACTCATCTCGTTGTCTCACAGTTCCCTATCGCCCCTGCTCCCGCCCCCAGTGGCTCCTACTCGGCAGTCTCCGCTTTTCCATTCTTGACACCGAATACAGATCTAGTGCGCATGAGGAAGTTTTGCTCATTTTGAAAAATGATTGAGAAATCCGCCTTTGATTTACTGCCGTAGCCGTAGTCGTAGTCGTAGCAGGGGATGTGGCTGTGACTCTGACTGTGACTGTGACTGTGGCTCCCAAAACTGGTTTGCCAAGTTACAGCGGCGAGCGGGCCAAAACTGGGGAATCCACTGGAAACCCAGAATCGCACTCGGCTGGGAAAAGGCACTGCTGGGCGGTATCGGAATCTGAATCGGAATAGGAATCCGATTTTGAGGCGGAATAGGAGGTCGCATCGGTCTTATCAGCGCGGCGGCGCAAGGTTATCGAAGTGCAATTTTCCATAAATATGTGTGTTGAATTTATTGTTTTGCTCCTTGTTTTTGTTTTTGTTCTTAAAATAATGTCACTGCGCTCTCCTCTCCTTGGGACCCAGGGAATCACTAGCCCTTGTTGTACTTGGGGCTGAGGGTGGCCGTGCTGAGGGCGTCAGTGCCCGGGGCCATCAGCGTTGGGTGCTCCACATGACCAATGAACAGCACGGAGCTGGCGGTGCGGACGGCGAAGACGAACGGATGGTCGGCAGTGAACTCCGGGGACTTCATGGGCAGCGACAGGGGCACGAACTTGGCATCTGTGGGGGAAGAGAAAAGGATGTTACCTGTTACCTGGCCTTGGAGGTCGAGGAGGTAGTGAGGACTTACATGAAGCTGCCGCGGCCTCGGTTCCCGACTCGCTCACGTCGATGAAGGCCTTCTGGAGGACCTTCTCCACGCGCACCTTCTTGTTGAGTATTCTGTCGATCTGGGACTGGGACGTGAACATCTGCCGGACGTCGAGCTGCTGCAGGGGGCCAGTCATGTCCTGCTCGAACTCGACTCGGAACTTGGGTAGTCGAACGGTGACAGTCTGGCGGCGCACACGGGCGGCAATGTTGTTGAGATTGAAGCCCGGCTGGCCCAGCTGGCGCTCGAGGTGCGCCAGGCCGTTGGACTGCTTGGGCAGCAGGATCAGCATGCTGGTGCCACTGTCCTTGTAGGCCAGCTCCAGGACGGTAGCATCCAGCTCGGGAATGTCGGCCAGGCCGTAGATATCATCATTGTACATCATGGCCACGCTGGAGGAGCTGCCGTCGGAGTGCTGGAACTGGTGCGGCAGCGTGTCCATGGTGGCGAACTCGTTCTCCCAGTGACCCTTGAAGTAGATTGCGTTCACCAGTAGGGCCTGCGTTCGGGAGTCCAGGTCGGCGGTCGAAATCAACTGTTGGATCTTGCCGCGAGTGCTGTCCGACACCCAGGCATTTATCCCATCGACAGTACTCTTGGGCTGCTCCATGTCCACCGCCTCAATGCCGGCGCGGAAGTAGTTCTGAGCAAATGGGGGAAAGCCGGGGTTAACACCGCCTAGCCGGTTGTTGTAGTAAATCTTGTTGGCCATAGTCAGCTCGGCAGAGCCCAGTCCTTTCTTATGATCGATCAGATCCTTGAAGTCATTGGCCACGACCAACGGTTCGCCAAACTCTCCGGCATTCTTCAGCTGCAAATAGGTATTGCCCGCCGACGTCCCGTAGATCAGTCCCATAAGAGCGTGTACGGAGACGGGGGAGTAGACAAGGTTGCGTCGCAGGTTCGACGGCGCGATCTTCTGGAAGAGCTTCGAGCTGAAGCGGTCCATGTAGCTGGGGGTTGCCGGAGGGCGGGGGGCGGCAACGGGGGCTGGCGCCGACGGGCGCCGACTCATGTCTACTGGCTCAATCTCCGGATCTCTAACTGGCTGTTGCGTATCCAGGTCGCTTCCGAATCTTGCACCTATCCTCACATCCTGCGGGTTGTTGAAATTCAAGGGTCTTACGTTATTTTGGTAAGGATACCCTTGGGCGTAGGCCTGGGTGGCCAGGAGTTGGAACGCTGCTAGTAGGAGGAAAACAGCTGGAAGGAAAGCGAAAAGGCGGAATGATGAGAACTCGTGCCCAGTCGGAGCCCCGCCCCAACTTACTGGCTTGGCTCGCCATCTTTCTTATCTGCTGCTCCTTGAGGGATTATTCAACTCGATTTAATTTATTCGTCCGAGCCGCCGATCAGCTCGTTTTCAGCTGTGCTAAAACACTGATCATTGCGAATCCGATCATGAGCAGCAGAGCAGCAGAGCTCGAAGCGCGGGTGAGAACCCAAAGCTGGGTCTACTGTCGAGATAACCTGTTCCAGAACTTGACGCCGCTATGCTCCGGAGAACCAGTTGATAATGAAAGCACTTTGAGCTGAGCTTTGCCTCTCCCGGCGGGAAAACCCGATGCCAATTATAGAAAGAAAACATAGAGCGAGCGTTGTTATTGCTGTAGAGGGTGCCTCGGCTGGTTTTCCCGACCCCGGCATCTTAACCCTCGATCCGCGTGGGCTGCACCTGCACCTGTACCTGTACCTGTCGCTGTACCTATAATTTTCATGGCCTGTGACTCATAAGCTCACGACATTGGGCAAGAGGAACCTGTTGAGGCACACCGAGATGCTCTATCTGAGGCTCATAACTCCTGCTTGCCCATTAGATAGATACCTTTTCCATTTCGAAAACCCGAGACCCGCGAGAACTAATTACGTATTCCCCAGATAAGACCCCACACACTCCCCCAGCTTCAGCATCAGCATCAGCATCGACTTCCCTGCATTCTTAATTATGTAAACCCGAACTCCGAGACCCGGCGTGGAATGCCTTTCATATCAGCACTTGGCCTCCTCCCCAATCTGGTTTGCGGTGACCCAATTGCAGGCGGAGACGGCCGAATGTGTAAACATAATTTACTCCAATTAGAGTGCGATGCCACGCCCGTCTGCCGCCCCCTGGAACTGGGGCACTTGGGGAGTGCATCGCTGATATGAATGCGATGAATACCATGTCGGACTTGGGGTGTGGGTAAGGGTTGGGGAACGGTGCATAGAAAGCAATCGATAAGAGGAACGGAGCGGAGCCCCTGGGCAGGAGGGTTAATTGCAGTGCACCAGGTGGGCTAGAGGTGGCTTTCGGTACACATAGGGAAAATCAGGCAGTATTTGATATAATAGTTTCAATTAATAAATGTAGAGCAATTGATTTACAAACAATTCTTTTAATTGTAGAAATGTATTTCCATAAAATGAAGGCTATATGAAAATGAAATTTTCCGAGTGTATAATGCGCTCCACTCAACTCCCCGCGTTTGTTTGCTCTGGCTGATATGACGTCGAGTGCTTTGCCCGATCAAACAAAGAGAGAAGGAGGGGCTTTTGGCGGTATCTCCCGGTATTACCGCTCCGATCCGGCAGTTTCCGTAGGGAGCAGCCAGCTGCATTCGGAGGCACTTTTCCGGATCGCTTCGAGAGCCACTTCCAACTGTCAACGCTCTCCGAGGGGAAGTGCTTGAGTCTGCTAAGAAACAAACAAACACAATAAACAGCAAAGCAGCTTATAAAATAACTTTTAAGGAAGTTGGGGGTCGATAAGGCAATAATAATATATATGAATGGGATCAATACAAGCGGTGGAAAAATTGGATTCAAAAAGCTTCAGGTTCTCAGGGGGATTCAGTTCTAACCTTTTATCAATAATTTATGCCTTATTTAAATGTATTTAATTCATTTAATTTGCATTTCAAATTCGAGTTTACAACGTGAAATGGGAATATTTTCTTGGCTGTTTTCAATTTTAATCAAAACTGACTTTAATGGGAGTGCTTAATTGTGTCATAGTTTCTGCGGTATTTAATTAAAGAACTATGTTAATTTTATTATTTAAATTGTATTTCATTAAAGAATGCACGCTTATTATGTTTTTTCTTTTAGTTTTATTTATATATAGTTTAGACTTTATTTTTGTTTTGCAAGGCGACCTTAAACTACATTATATAAATAGGAAATTCCTAAAATGACTTTGATTGGTTTTCTTCAATCAAGCTCAGTTAATTTTCTTAGATTGTACTAATTGGCTACTCAATAAATAACAATAAACACATAAAAATAAATGTAAGCGAATGAAAATTCTTTATAAAAGTTGGCTTTATGAAAGCATTTTCTTGATAGCTTATGTCAATGTCAACTTTTTTACTTTTCACAAGCAAAACTAACTAATGTCGTTAACTTACATTATGTTAATATTATAAATATATATTTATTCAACTAATATTTTAGCGTATCTGTGTTTAAAATATAAATTAAACACATCTCTATTAAGTCAGTCTTGTGAAAGCTTATTTTCCTGACTGAGCCAGATCACATTTCCATCTGATCTGTGTGCCTCAGTAATCTTTGGTATCTCCGAAACAGTTCTGCCCAATTTGCGGCAATTAGTTGGCCAATTAACCAGACACCCCCGCACCTGACGACCGCAGCTGGTGGCAGAAACCGCATGGAAATGGAAATATTGCAAGTTGTCACCGGAGTGTGGTGCCTCAATTAGCGGCAACATGTTGCTGTGCTGGTGCAGCGACCGCAAGAGCAACTTGCTGCCGACTTTGGTTTCGGTCAGAGGCGTGATGCCCAATGCCTTCAAGAGGGGCAGTCTTGGTTCCATGTCATCATTATCGACAGCTGACTCAATCATTATATATGCTGGTACTCAAAATTCCCCCCTTTGGAGCCGCCTCTGGATTTTAATAGCGTGTCGCCTGGGGTGGGATGGGAGCGGTGGTGCAGATGATGGCATGGCGACAAATCCAATCGGAGGTGGCAAATGAGGAGCGAGTGCAGTCCGTTGGCGGCACTTACAACGAAATCGCATTAAATTACACGCTGGCCGTCCGATTCGCCCGATTTGCATAATATTATGGCGAATAAATCATAGAGCCGCCGCCTGAGCCATCACAATATTTGTACATGCCATTTGCATCCGAGTGTCCGTCCGAGCGGTGTGTGTATCTGGCAACATGTTGCTAACGAGCGAGCAAAGAGGCCTTTATCTCGGCATCCGGAGCCGCATCAATTAAAGCGACATAAAGGAAACTTATAATTTTCGTTTGCCTTAATCATAGTCGGCATTCCTTCCATTGCTCGCTTTCCCTTCCTTTTTCTTTTCTGCTCAGCTCGTGCATTTAGCAGCGTTTATAGAAATTGCCAGCCCACCAACTCCCCGTTCATTCTTTACAATTCCGGTGCACTGAAAGAAATTTTATTTCGATTTAATTATATTTTTTTACTTATTGGAATCATCAAAATTACAGAGTACATTAGTTTCAGGAGATGTCACTAGGTATGTTCGTATCTTTACATATTCTTGAAACAGTTGATGATCAGGAACTTCAATAACTCTTGCATTTCTAAGAGTAAGATGTATAATAAAGTTGTAAGATATAAACTACATAATAATATCTAACATTTCATTGTAAAAATGCATTTAAATAAATAAATAACTCTATAAGTTGTTAGATTAAGCCCCAAAGTAACAATATGACAGCTTTGTTGTCTAGATTTGTGTGGCGGCAGAGTTCAGGCAGGGAATTTCTTCCATTACAATTAAATTCTCTTATTAATTTGAGAAAGCAAATTAATCTTAAATTAATCTTTTTCATATCGCTGTTAAGAATCTGTTCTCCATGCTTGATTTTAGATTTCTCAGTATCTGGCTAAACAACATTTTGATGGGTTATCTTATCTTATGTTTTGGAGTTTCTGGACTCTCACTTACTATTAATTTGATATTCCAGTGTAATGACAAAGAATGGACAGCATCCGCGGCCCAAGTTGCGGGGGCGGTGCTGGGGTAATCGCTGTTTAAATTTGTACTTCGTGATGCAATCATTCTGAATGTCAGAGAGGCCCAAGCTTCGCCACTCGCCGTTCGTACGTTAGGCGCCATAATGGGCCAACACACACACACACACACACACAGAGAGAGACTGGAGGCTGGACTGGCTAACACACACAGACACAGAACAGCTCACACCCACACACTCTCTCTCTCCCAGGGAGTTGAGGTCAGCAGCCAGCATTTGTTTTCGGCCATTGTTCGGAGCTCCTTTTTTGGGCTGGGCCTGCACTCTGCGTGTTCTTTATTGATCTAAATTTGCGGCTTGCAAATTTGTGGCTCCTTTTCGGCGGATTTGCTGGCCCGGCCGCTTATCTGGCTTAGATGGCATTCCGCGCAACGGCAACGGCAACGGCGACTCTTTCGATTTTTCCAACTGCCAATTGCTGTAATTTCCCTTATAGATTTAGGCCCGGCTAATGAGCTCGGATCTTGGGCAATGCAATCTTGGCCGGCGGCCTCGGACCGCCGTTAAAATTGTAATCAGTTAACGCTTAATTGGGAACGCTGCCACGCCCCTCGGGGGACCAACACAATGGGAATCACAAGTAGAGATTAGGCGGAAGAACCGCTAAGCTAACTGGGAGCCAGCGTTTTGCTTTATTCGATGTTTTTCCTACTTGACTTGCCAATACATCACGGGAAGCGGGGCAACGAACGAAGAAGCGGAACCCTTTCATTACGTAGGAAAAACTGAAGCGCACTGTTCGAGAAAACGAGAAAATAATGATGAATTGCGGTATTATCGCACGGTAATGCGGCGAGATGGATACCCAGACCCAGACCCAGAACCACATAGGAAACGTCGGGAAACTGGAGCACTTGTGCACGAACAGGGCCAGAAAGTTGGACGCGGCTCTGCCCAGGCCCAGCCCCAGGCCCAAAACAAATATGTAATTGGCCAAGCGGCAGACACGAAGGTGCACTGGTATCACGTACTTCTTGGCCCCGCAGATCCCAGCTCAAAATGCATCGACACGATGATTTATTTGCATTGCTAAAGCCAAGAACAACACACTGTGAAAATTCATACATTAACTATATTAATTCCCATGTATATAGGTATTTGAACTACTTTAAATATCTGCAATTGGGTAGGGAGAATTTTCTAGTATAGAAAAGTTAAACTTGTGCTTTTATCTCAGTGTCCCAGGGAGTAAGGGAAATCCAACACGTAGCCGGGGCCAATTTCCTGAACAACTTAATTGAATTGAGTGTGAGGGCTTTGGGCTATGGGCTCTGTGATCCGTCGTCCAACGTCTCGTATACGCAATGCCTGCTCGTCCTCCACTGTGCCTCATTTGCATTCTGCATTCTGCATTCTGCACGCACAGCCATAGATC